ACATTCAAAGCTTTACAATACCAGGGGCACTATTTGCTCAGATTTTTTCCCTTTTTTTAACTTCAGGTCATTTTGATGTAATTTATTAACCAAGATCAGGAATTGTAGCCAAAAGAGGAACAATATTTTTATACGTGTAAAAGTACTTTAAATACATTTGTATCTGTATTAGCTTTGCTTTCCTGTGGCATCTTGCTTACCAAATTCCCCAGTGCCAGTGCGGACACATCCCTTGAGAAGACTCCTTAATGGATTGACTATCATCCTAACACAGGGCCCTGCTGTAAAGTTTGAGTGAAGGATGACAATTTTTAGCAGGCAATCCTTTTTATTTCTCCTAAATATGGTGTCATTAAACAAACCATTGCCCACCATCACGGTTTTGAAGTCAACTGAATCTGGATCTGTGTGACTCACCACACACAGCTCCAGTCCTTGTCCAGAGTTGCACATCTTCCCACATTACCATTAAGCTAAACTGTTCAAGAAATTGAGACATCTTTGTAAGATGTTTAAAAAAGCAGTTTCTCATAATCCTGTTGTAGAAGATGCTTTATAGGCACCCAGAATTAATGGTACTGAAGTCGCCGAGAGTTCTCAGGCCGTCTGGATCCCCCTGTCACTCTACTAAATACATGATAAGAAAAGCAAAAGGGCTCTAGGGAATGGCCATGTCATCTACAAGCACAACCCTCTGGTGCCCAGCACTCTCCACAGGAGGCCAACCTAGGGCAGGGAAGGTAAACTAGGAGAAGGGGTTGGTGGGGCTGTGTGGATAACAGAGACCTGGTAGGAACAGCCAATCAAATTCAGAGGTCATGAAGCCAGTAGTGGGGTTTAATTGCTTCCAAGCCCTAAACTCAACTACACCCATTCTTCCCTCAGGCAAGGTGCCTGGCCTCTCAGCACTGCAGTCTTGCTCACCTGGAGGCTGGAAAGAGTGGTTCCCTGCAGGAGGGAGGTATAGCCTGGGACAGATACAGAAAGTGCTCAGGAGCTCGAGGTAGGAAAGGTGCTGGATGAATTCATGATGCCATTGTTCATCTTCTTAATAAGCCATAGTAATAAACTGCATTCATAGTGGCCCCCTAACCTCTTTCTGTGGAGTCCTAAACTACGCATGTCCTGAGGGTCTAAAGGAAACTCTAAGAAACACCCAACCCACAAAACAATGAAAATAGTATCTCAACAAAAATCCAACCCTGTAACTTATATGTTGGTCCCAGGCCACTGCCTCTTGCTAATATCTTCCCAACATCCTTCCCTTATCAGCCCTCTCACCGTGTCACCAGCGGGAAGAAGGGCTGCTAAGGATGCTGTCAGCGGCACTGACACAGGGCAGAGGGGAGGACGTTCTTTTTTTTTTTTTTTAAATATTTATTTATTTATTTTAGTTTTCGGCAGGCACAACATCTTTGTTTGTATGTGGTGCTGAGGATCGAACCCGGGCCGCACGCATGCCAGGCGAGCGCGCTACCGCTTGAGCCACATCCCCAGCCCCATGGGAGGACGTTCTTGAAGCTTGCTCCTCTCCCAGGATTCCCTCAGCTCACTTTACTCATAGCTCCAGTGACGGCTCACAGGTTGCTAAGAACATCCTTTGGCAATCTTCTCTTGGTAGCTGGAAACTCTGTCGTGTGTTGCAGCCCCACACTAGGGCCAAGATGGAGGCCCTTTGAAACTTCTCTAAGTGGTTTAATAGCCATAATCTCATTTGGTCAGCGTGCTCCTCCAATCAGATAGCAGAGGTGGATTTCGCAGGACTCTCACTTTAGACAAGAGGAAACCAAGGCCTCAGGACTTACAAGGCAAGAATGGCAGCTGTGGTGAGTTTGTGGTCCAGATGGATTCTAATGCTCATCTTCTGCCTCCAGGTCCAGCTCTTTCCAATGGGCTACTCTTCTCAGCTTGCCCCTAGTGAAGAGGCTCAGGTCTGGCACCTTGAATGCCTTTGGGTTTAGAGCAGCAATTCCATGTCACTATCCCTAGCCCAAGTACACAGGGATTCAAAACTATGTTACCTTAACAATACATGAAAAGCTTTTACGTTCAAGGACCTGCCTAGTAGGCCATAATTAGGATGGAGTAGTCCTTGAATTGGTAGATGGCATGTTGCTTTGATTCTATGACTGCTTTGTAGTGAGTTTCCTGTCATTAGAGGTATTCAAACAGAATGTGAATGTTTGCTCTTCAGAGATATTGTAGAGAGGTTTGATTCCACGATGTCTGAGATCCCTTCCAACACTTAGAGTGTATGATTCACTCCTGCCTACTGCACTTGGGATTCAATGAAACCAAACTAGTTACAGTTCAACCGTGAGCAATCAGCAATTCTGTTGGCCCATCTTCTAAGAGGAGGTAGTCTCAGAGTGCGTGGGAGTTCCAATAAGACAATGTAGGCACTTACATTTTCCATATTTTTGTCATACATAATAATGTGACTCATTGTTAGGTATCCATGTACGCACAACATAACAATATAATTTGTTCAAGATCGTTCCCAGTACCCTTCCTTTTCTCCCCTCCTCTCTCCACCTGGTCCCTTTCCTCTACTCTACTAGCCCCCCTTTGCTTTTCATGTGATTCCTTCACCTAGGACAGGAGTTTGTGAGGGCATTTTTGTGTTTTGTTTTTGGTCCTGTGGATTGGTCCCAGGGACACTTTACTATAGAGCTACATCCCCAATCCTTTTAATTTTTATTTTGTGACAAAGTATCACTAGATTGGTCTTGAACTTGTGATCCTCCTGCCTCAACCCCCAGGGTTGCTGTGATTACAGGTGTGTGCTGCCATGCCTGGCTAGGAAAGCATTTGTAAAGTACTTTTCCCAACTTTCCCTTGATAGTATAAAACCTGTAAAATAAATGCCATTTTCACCAAAATGTAATAAAACACCCAAACTTCTATTGAAAGATCTGGGAAACAGGCCTGACGATAGGCTCAAAACTACTTCTATTATTTGAAATAAAAGAACCAACTGGGTGACAACATTCTTTCATAATTTGGGGAATCCAGTTCTTTTCCCCACTCTGATGATAAAGGTATTGCTAATTAGGGAGTTCAGCATATTAGAATTTTCCAACTTCCACGTGATTGATCCAGTAAATGCATACTTAAGACATTTGGGAAACAACACTGCAAAGGTGTGCAGTCTCTTCCCAAATCTGACCATAGCCTTCAAGGGCTTCATTTGTCAAGTGCAAGGGCAATCTACTTCTTAGACTTGTCATTCACCAAATCTTGCTGAATAACTACTCTAAACAGGAATCTCAAGAATATAGCTACATTTTCAATTTTCAGAATTTTTATGAGATGGCTTTCAAGTTTTTTTCTTTTCCTTTTTTTTTTCTTTTTTAATATGGCATTTTCTAGTTTCCCTTTATTACTTTTTTTTTGGGGGGGGGACTAGGGATTGAACTCAGGGGTGCTTAACTACTGAATCACATTCCCAGCCATTTATTTTATAATTTTTAAATTTTGAGACAGGGTCTTGCTAAATTGCTTTAGACCTCACTTAAGTTGCTGAGGCTGGCTTTGAACTGTGATCATCCTGCCTCAGCCTCCTGAGTGACTGGGTTTACAGATACACCTGGCTTAGGTTTTCTACTAAGATGTGTTTGAAAGATACATCTTACAGGTCCTCTTCTGTTCATTTTCAAAATTTTACAGGATTACATAAATTGGCCAAACAATGAATTGTTTAAAAATTACTGACAGGATAAGAGTCTTACCAAGATAAATATTCTAATGAGCTATAAATCCTGAAAATGTGATTTTAATTTGATGGGCTACCTAGAGTTAAGCAGCAAGGCTGTAGACACTAAAATCTCACTAAATGCTAGATTAGGAGCGCATGCCAAACGATTGCATTTTAGATTCTCTCTTTAAGGAAAAGATTATGTTTAAACAAAGAAGCTTACAAATTCAAAAGTGAGACTAACACTTCTGGACCTGACAACTTGGACAGTTTCTCTCCCACTTATCTGATGACTTTAACTGTGAAGGAAAAAGGATACAAAAGAGACATTTCAGTGAGTGAAGGATCTTTAAATGTCCACATGGGTACCAGGAAAATTTGCTTAAAAAGAGATAGAGAGAATGCGCCCCCTCCTATTATTCAATAACCACTGTTTGTGATGCATCTGCATAATCTAACCATGCATAAATTAGTATGTGTAATACAACACTTATTTGCATAATAATAGCAAGTTAATAGATGCTTAAAGAGCAGAGACCAATACCACCTTTAAATCAGACATGCCTCCAGGCACTTTGGCCTGTACAGACCAAGATGCCAGAAAAACAGTGAGCATCAACCAGAGGAAAACAGTCAAACCATTCATTTTTCATCCCTCTCGACATTTCACTTATTTCCCTCCACACACAGGGGAATTATTTTCAAACCACAAAATAGCATTATATGTTAAGTGTGAGCACCCTCCTATAGTAAAAATCTTAAAGAAATTAAAACAATGCTAGTAAAATGGACTGTTTTTTTTTTTCTTAGACATGTGGATAGGAAGAAGCAAAATCTAAAAAGAATTATGTTCAAAATCAAACTCACACAAAATTGGGGGCCTATTTGCCTTGCAAAAATAATGACTTCAATTAGACATTTTCACCCTTCTTCTTAACCCTTTAACTCAAATAATTTAATTGAATCCAAAAATCCCGAAGAAAAGGGTATCAAGGAAAGACTGGACCCCTCCTCCAACCCTAATGTGAGCACATGGTACCGGGCAGGATGAGGGAAAAACATCTCTAATGTCACACAAAGGAAGATGATCGCTGTCAACCTTTAACAAAGGGGAAAAAAAGTCTGGAGTTTAAAAAAATCAAAAATCAACAGAGACTTCTAAATGACTCCTTTAAGATATCACTTTTCAATTTAACAGGACAGATTTATTTGTATGTGGCTCAAATGTTCACAATTGCTCCCTGCACCTTCATACATAGGAATGAATGTCACAGTGGCAAACGGCAGTAATGAACAATCTTACCTGAGGATATGGAAACCTCCCAAGAGCAAGCTGGGAAAGGAAATAATATTTGTCTAGTTATAGATTTGCATGCAGGGCAGATCTCCTTAAAACAGACAAGTACTAAATTTCAGAAATGCATCTAGCAAATACAAAAAGCTCACAACCTCAAATGCACAAACTAAATTATTGCTGTAATTACATTACAAGCTGTATTTAGAATGGACATTTTCAATAGACAATGTTGCATCCCTGATAAAATATTCTAATTTTAATAACTAGACATTACCCTTATGTAGTTTCTCTTAGGAATATTCTCAGCTCTGTGGCCATTATTTACATTTACATGTGTGCGACAGTTTCTTCTACACAGATATAAAACTCTTGGCTTCTTCTCTGTAAGATAGGAACATCTAATTGTTTCCAGCCCACAGCTCTGCAGTGATCAGTTTTTTTGTGTAAATGAAGGGCTGCAGGAAGTGGGAATGGGCCAGGTTCTGAAATGAAAAACCATGCTATTATTTTCATACTTTTTGTTTGTTTTATTTGGTCCATTTTCTATCCATACATAGAGGGAAAGTGCTACCACTTGTGTGAAAATGGCAATTTAAAGATTGTGAAGTTGGAACTTCAGTCTAAAAGTGGTAAAGGGAGCTTAGAGCTTCTGGATTAGCTCGACTCGTAAACTATTCTCTGTTTCTGAGCCAGTCACTTAATTTTGGTCTTTGGGTCCTCACCTGGAAAAACAAAATGATTCCTCCAAGACAGGGCTGAGATAATACGATCACATTTAACAAACTCATGATAATCTATGTAAGGAAAATAACTACATTCAAAGTAGAATCACAATATCAGGGAATTTTAAAGCTGGAATGGATCTGTATCAATCTTCTTCACAGATGGGACTTCCAGAGTCCCACTAAAGCAGTTCCTACACAGTTAATCAGTGGAAACCTAGGGGCTGACCCCAAGACTTGTGACTTCATTCAGAGTTCTTCCCAGCACATTATGCTGTCTTTCTAGATCTTGAGAAGTTGAACGCTTATTTCAAAAAAAGGAACATTGCTTAAACAATTTTGAACTGTATTTTGGAATTGTGTTTAGAATAATTTCACGTAACACAAGGACACCTACTTCATTTTATGAGAACTGCATCTTGGATTTAAAATGATGTCCCTCAGTTTTTTGATTGCATAAACTATTTGTAGACTAATGGGTAAATGATCTATAGATATTATCAAAACCAAAAGTTATATGCAAAGAACAAATACTTTGTTATTTGCTAAGGATAAAAATGAAGATGCTAAGGTTTTCAAAGTTCCAAAACCAGTTTGAGCAATAGCAATATAATAGGAATTAACCATATGACCTTGTAAGGTGACTATTTTGAGAGTGTCACCACTCATTTGTGTGTGTGTGTGTGTGTGTGTGTATGTGTGTATGTGTGTCTGTGTGTTGTGGAACACCTAGTGTCATTACTGATTTCTTATATCCAAGATATATATATATATATATATATATATTAAAATATATAAATTTATACTATTATTTCATTTGATGGATACAGTTAATCCCTTCAGGTATAAATAACAAAAGTATCACAAGATAGGGAGAAGGAAAGAAAGTGTGGCTGTTTACTTTAGTGGCTTTCAGAGTCTTGTGTGATTACATTTGTGGTCTATGTATTGTAACTCATCAGGAATGGGGAGGGTCTCAGCTTTCCACTGCCCCAACTCTGCCCCCACCCAACAGGCTACATTTTTGCCCTACATTTTAGAAATACAATATGTTTCTGTCCAATAATAGTGTGCACACTGATTCAGAAGGAGTCACCGTGGTCTATCATGGTGGTTGTCCAGGCATTTGTGCCACTGTGTACTGACCTGACAGGTGACAGCTCACTGAAAGCTGATACCTGTCAACGCATGATCTGTGGATGATGAATTTTGCATATTATTCCATTTGGAGTAACAGAAATGGCAAGGAGGGTCTTTTATCTAAGAAAGCTAATAGTTCAATAATACTAGAAAATATTTAGAACATCCTGTCTCCAACCCTCCTACAGGTACCGTACCATTCTCTTGGGTGCATGTTGATACATCCTTAGGGACCATGGAAGAATCCCATCCACACAGCTTACAGGCAGAAGAAACTTTTGTGTGACACAGACCATCAAGACCTAAACTAGCTTTCAGGTACTAACACTGGCCATTGGTTCTTGAAGTTTAAAGAATCAAAAAATGATAAATGGAAGTCTTAAAAAAAATAAAAAGAGTAGGAAAAGGTGAAAATGTGAATTCATCCCATTTCAACACAAAGCCTCCAGATTCTCAAATCATCATTTTGCATGGAAAAGCCAGGCTCTGGCTGACAAGGGACTGTTGCACTCATCTACTTGGCTCCTCTGTCACAACTGGTACAAGGTAAACAAGAATGGCTGATGGCATTTATTTGCTCTTTAAGGTACTACCATGCAGGAGACAGAAAATTCATTGGGGATCTCTTTGTCCCAGTCTGCTTGGGAACAGGTGGCAGTGCTTGAACTGGTGAATACATTGTTTCTGAGCCTGGTTTTGTTTTCTGTGTATTTTCCTGACACCCTATGGAACATCAGTCCTACCTGTCAACTATGCTTCTGAAAGGACTGCTTCTAAGACACCTTGCAGGTACGGACTGGTTCCTCAACCTTGAGCACTGCAAAAGTAGCATGACAATTGCTTCCTCTCTGACAGTGTCACCTCTCGGTTGCTGCAGCCCCAGACCAAGGACTCCAATTCTATACTAGTAAACATGGGCAGTGGCACTACCAGGCTGTCACCGAGAGCAGTCATTTTGAGGCCCCAGCAGACGAACACGCCTTCCTTCCATGTGTGTCCTTATCCTTCCAGGACCAATGCAACTCCAGTATTTATGCTCCAACCATTTGTCTTGTGGCACATTAGAAGGAAATATGCAGCCAGGCCCTAGAACCCTTTTATCAAGCTGTACTAGGAAGAGGTAAAAAGGAAAAAGGGCTCTTTGCAGACATGGCTGCATGAAGAACAAGTCTTCATGAGGCTGTCAAAATAAACACAGAACCCTTGTGGGGCGAGGGAGCGCACAGGCTCTAAGAGAATCTTTCAGAGACAGACAGACCTGGGGCCATGCTGTATCTTTTACCCCTACTGGTCTATTAATCTACTTGCATTTCCCCAGTTTTTATTGTCAAGGTATTATAAATTAGGAAACTTACAAAAGAGAGTATGTAATCTTCTCTGAAATGGCCTGCAGATATGTCACTGTACTAAATGTGTTTCAGATTTAATGAAGCTTTAATGTCCTTTTTAATTTTGCCTGTTTCTGTATCACCAGGGGTCGGGCAAGGCAATCAGCACTCAAGAGGGTGGTTTGGTTTAAAACTAGGAAAAAACTCATTTGCTTATGAGTTGCACTGTATTTTCTTAATTAAATTTACTGAGTAAAATGGTTTAAGTTCAGCCAACCAATGACCTTTGTATGTAGATTTAGATTTATAAATAGGTTAACAGTTAAAGGGGGAAAAAAGAATTGCAACAAAGCAAACAGATTAGGCTAAGCCAATAGAAATCTCTGCTCTCTTTATCATCTTTACAAAAGAAGCATTTAAATATAGACAGCTTAAGTCCAGTTTAAAAAAAGTATATTGAAAAATGTGGACCCACATAAGCGCCAGCAATTCATCAAAGGACTCTCACATCCTTTTCATTCCCAGGAGGGGAGTGGCTCATATTGTAAAAGATTTGGAAAAGCTTTATTTGTTTTTGGGGGGTGGTGGTAGACAAGAGGGAGGGAGAAGAGTCTAGTTAATGTTAAGTAAAAAAAAAAAGTGCATTTTAATTCCAAACACTTAAGATTCAGCAAACTGCTGAATACTCCTTGTGGGACATTTATTTTGTAAAAGGCAGAAAAAGAATGCAGGGGAAGCGATCATCAGTTGGGACTACATTTAAATCACAGTATCCACTAACATCTCACTGCAAAATTTATGAATGTTCCTTCCTGCCACCTAGTTAATCTTTGATTTGGCCATCCATAATCTATGAATTGCTTTTGGTTAGCAGCATTTGAATATGTTGGACTGTATAATTTAAATAATGTGCACACAGGTATGTGCACATGTGCGTGTCTGTGTGTGTGTAGTCACAACTGTCCAATATACAACAGTGGCATGAAGGAAACCTTTCTATTTTAACAAAGTTAGGATACAAGATTTTTGTCTGTAAAGGAACAAAATGGCTTTGGTTGATCATAAAAACAATTAATGTCATGAAATTAAAAATGATAAAGAGAAAATATGTTGTAGCCAGAAAACAGTGCAGGATACAAACTCAGGACATGCTACTGGTGATCAAGTTGCTTACGTATAGAATATCAACCATGCAATGGGAGCAGTTTTAAATTTACAGTTACATTGAACAACATTTTTTTTTTTTTTAGGTGCTGGGAATTGAACCCAGGGCCTGTGCACCAGAGGCAAGCACTCTACCAACTGAGCTATGTCCCCAGTCCCTGAAGAACAGTTTTTTGTTGTTATTCTTAATTTAGACATATTCTATGTTTCTCGGCAAAACTGCAAATTGAAAATAAGCATTTTCAATACAGCCAGTGATCTAGCTGAAGGAGGACTTTATAGTCTGAAATGTTCTAAAATTTGTTCTTAATTACCTTGTGCACATTTTATACAATTAAATTTCCATCTAAGGATTTTGCATTTAGATTGTGCTCTGCAGTTAAACCTTCATTTCACAGAAATGCAGCAGCCACTTTGGAATATTCAGACACAGGGAAACTTTAAAAAATCAGACTTAACTACTGGATTACATAAAATTCCCCAGGTGAGAGTTCGTCCCAAGACCAATTTACACAGTCCTACAGAAAGAGTTTAAATCATCTGAAACCATGCTGGTGAGGAACCATAATAAATATTAAATACCTCAAAATCGACTCTAAGATTCTACTTTTCTTGCCATGTATCAATTTCACTGTCCTCTTTCTGAATGGTTTAAAAACAATCCAAAGGATATAACAGCAAT